ATTTGTGCTGCTTAGGGGAATTTCCCTGGATGTTGCTGGCCTTGTCTTTGGGAAGTCCTCCGGCAGCCCCCGCTGCCCGGCTCCGGCTCTCTGGCACCCCACTGCCTCTCTCTGCTGCCTCCATGCATAGGGAAGCCTGGAAGGTGAGACACGTTGTCCACGGCTGAGTCCACAGAAATTTGGCTTCAGAAGTAAGCTCAATATGTACAGGTTTCATGTAGGCCACAGAAGTAGTATAGTGAATGAAAATCTCGTTCATACTCGGCTGCCCCGGACCAGTCAGCTCATGTACCACTAATGCAAACTACTGACTGAATTCACCCCATGGAGTTCCCTGATCTCTGAAATGCAGAACTGGGTTATTTTAGTAGAAATTGATTCACTAGTCATGAATTCCATTTGAGAAGATCATGTAATTTGGGGTTCTCTGTCTGCTCTAAAGTGACAGCAGTTCTTTACGTACCCCAACAGTCTCAACAGACTAATAAGTTTGAGGTTGAGAAGAAAATGCTGTTACTTCTTCATTTCCCACAACACATTTTATGGTGAATCCCTTGTGCCCAGTGAATGGTTTCTCAGGTCAGCAAAACCAACTCCTTTCTTATTTTGGGGCACATGTATCCCAAGGATACTACCTTTGGATAAAAAGACTTGAATGTACTTTACCACAGTAAAAAAATGTCCAAACCAGTAAACTCAAGGTATTTAAACTCTTTCCTTACATTTGATTAGTGCTTTATATGTCTGCTTTCAGAACATTTCTGAAGTGTTCTGTTGTAATTTGTTTAATTAGTATTTTTTAATTCATAGAATGGGGTTTTAAAAAACCCAAACACCGAAAATTTCATTTCTTTAAAGGTAGATTATTAAATTTTTGCAGCATGTGTAACTTTCATATATGACTTCTTTTTAAGATTTTGCACTTATGTAGTATTATGACTATAAATAAATTCAAATAAATATTTAGCACTTGAATTTTTCACTAACGGATGAGGATATTGTTGTCCTGTTTCAGAAAGGGTACAGATTTATGCGGATGTAAAGCAGTCTGTAGACAGATGTGGATAATTATATAGTTGTACGCAATGATCCAGTATAGCACAGGGGAAAACTGTTCTCTTTGTCCATATGACTGAACACATGGGTACAGATTTAAGACAATGAGTAGTAAACTTTTTGCGTAGCAGGAATAAAACTGGGGCACAGAACTGAACACTGCACATCTTCCTTACATTTAATTCTTCCTTTTTCTTTAGGCAAAATTGTGCCTTCTTTAAGAGGTGCATTATTTTTCTAAGCAATAAAACAAAGAAAGTAAGTAAGTGACTTATATTGATCTGGTGAATGCAGTTATTATAGTCCTGCACTTCATAAAAATGTTCTCCCTCGAAATTATATGAAGTAACGTGAATTTGAACTTTAAACACAAGTGATGAACCCTAATACTTAAGATGAAATTTTAGAATATGGCTTCTGAAGCAGCTACAAAATTTTAGACAGAGCCATCACATTAGCACCCAAATTTTACAAAACTTAAAGAAATATGGAGACCATCTGTTCAGTTAGCTGCAAACCACTTTGCAGGATTTAAGGTTTGGAAAATGAAATTAGCTAACAGAGATATAAAAGGTGCCAGTGGCTGGAAGTTTACCCTTCTTAAATTAGAAATGAGACTCACTTTTTAACATTAAGGTTATAGCATTTTATTTATAGCACTTACTTAGAAAAATTCACTAACAGCAATGGTGCACTTTCTGGGAATCACTTCAAATTAAGATGCAATGATTTTCTAATAGATGTTGTTTAACTAAAC